CTATACGCTGAAGAAGATAACGCACTGAAGACTCACGAAGAATCGACACCTCTCGTTCGCAATAAACATATATTATATACCTACATATATTAATCTATTTATCCCACATATCATATATATATATATATATATATATCCTCCGAGATCCGCCCTTTTCCCATCTATTGCCTACATCAATAAATAATACTTATATTAATTATTATATGCAATTTCGTTTTTCGCTGTAACTTTAAAACAATAATCGACTTTAAAGCACATGTGTATTAAAACTTTTGATTTTAGAATGATCCTAAGAATACAAAGTTTTACTGTGGACATCACGTTGTAGGACACCCTATATATATATATATATATATATATATATATATATACATATATATATATATATATATATATATAATTTATATATTTTATCAGAAATTCGCTAAAATTAGAATTAGCGAAAAATAAAAAGATTAAGATTTTTACAGATCGGACATATTTAAATTGATAAATGAAATTTTCTTAATGCATTATAAAATTCAGTACTGGAACGAAGATCTGAATCGAACGATTCAAATAAATATCACAAACTATAGCACATTTAAACAATTAGAATGCAAAATTTATGATTTAAAAAGCTGATACACTTACTATTTCAATATAGAAATGCGCATCTGTATGTTGCTAGTTCTTATGTTAATTTCATCAATGTGTCCACCACGCACGAGAATCCGATATCTCTATACTCATCATCAACATGTGGAATAAATTTGGAAGTGGATGTATTGGATGTAGACTTACAGACAGGCATTGAATTTAATACAGACGTAATATTTAAAGAAATCGTTTACTCAGCATTGGAACAAAAAATATATGAAAATCTCTCCTCCAATTTTAAAGTCGACCAGACTGGCAATAATTTATTTTAAATAATTAGTTTAATTTACAACGTTTCGGCTGTCATTGCAGCCTTTTCAAGTAATCTATAAACAATTATATACATATAAATATAATCTTAATGCGCTTAATCATACAAATAATTATAAATTTACAAAAATATATATGTTTACATACCAGATTAATACAATAAATCATATTTACAGCAAACCCCCGACAAAATTAACCATTGTTTTGATGAACAATGTATAACTGACAGAAGTAAGCCCGAAATAAAAGATGTTGACTGTTAGTAGAAAACTTAGTCATACGCGTTGAGGAAATATAAAACCAAAGTACTGTGTCTTTCGCAATTTTTTAAACCGTCAATACAAAGTCAAAAAATAGATAAATAAATAAATAAATAAATAAATATGTAACATATACAATATAATATATTAAATAGCTTCAAGAAACGCGATCATAAATCCCACTGAAATTCTCCGTATCTTTTGTAAATTAATGCTTTTTCTTTGGTTTTTTATATAGAACATTTCTGCTATTTCTCTTTTTTCTCGTTTGTTTTTCTTGATGCAGAATCACAGGAGAATCCCAACGGAACTCATGATCGTTACAAGTCCGATGCAAACTAACAACTGAGTGTGATGTCGTGTCTTTTTAATGTTATTTTATGTTCCTTAATACGTGTTTCTAAAGTCGCTTTGTTTGTCCAATATATGTAGAGTCGCAATTCGCGCATTCGATCTTATAGACGACATCGGTTCTTTTTAAGTTATCAATACTATCTTTTCCTCTTTTATCAAAGTGTCTAATTTTTTTGGAACGGTATATAATACACCGATTCCATTTTGGTTTATGCAACGAGTAATATTTTCGCTCAAATCTCTAATATCGGCAACACTATAACTTTCGTGTATCAAATTTATCTCGATTAGACGCACCAAAATTACCGCCAAATTTATCGCCCTAAGTCTCCTGTTAACAATTTTGTTTATGACTGTTAACGGGTAACAATTGTTACGAAGAATTCGTTTGACTAAGATGATGTTTTTCTCGTGAAACATAGGGTCAGCGAGTAAAATAGCCCTGTCCACGAGACTTGTGATCACACTAATTTATAACGCCATCGGATGGTTCGAAAGAAATTTATATAACGGCCTGAAAACGTAGGCTTACGGAACCAGTCAGTCGTCAATTTGCCATTAACTCGCATAACGCTTGTGTCTAAAAACTTAAGGAACAATTGTTCTCCAATTCAAACGTAAACTTTAGTCGAGTGTGAAACTATTAAAAATCGTAAGCATATCCTCCACTTTACATTTCGGAATAATTGAAAAATGTCATCAACATATCTGAAATAACAA